TTCCTTTCCTACTCGTCGTTCCGTACTCCTTCTCTCTCTCTCTCTCTTCTCCTCCTCTCCCCCTCCCTCTCTCTCTCTTTCTCCACTTCCTCTCCTATTCTCCTCCAGCCTCTCGCTATTCCGCTCTAGTCGATAGCGACGGCGAAGAGAGGTGCCAAAGATGGATTCCGGTATCGGAAGGATCGGGGGAGAGTAGGATTTTCCAGGTTATATTCCTGCCGCGGGCTATACGGGATATCCCGAGATTCGAACGTACTTCGCTACTCCCGACTGGGGCTTCCATGAAAGTTACACCTTCGTACGATGTGGACTTTATGATCGACCCGCGACGACTCGCTGTACTCGACGTCGCGTACATCCATAAAGAATAACGCAGCGCGGCACTCGGATATATTACGTCAAGTTGCAAGAAGGGGAGGTAAACGGAAGTGAAGTCATCGCCGATCGTATGTAATACACGGTGGCGTATCGCACGGCATATTCCTCCGTGAACGTTGCGTACGCGCGGTGTTCGGGCCCGCGGTATCGTCGCGGAATATCAGATCTGACGGTGAAGAATCCGGTGGATTTCGTAATCGAACTTGCGAGTTCCGAGGTCGAGGCGAGTCGCCGCTCGCCGTCGGGGAAAAACTCCGGAGCAGCGCGCGAGCCACGTGGCGGAAAAACCGCAGCACGGAGCGCACACGAGCAAGTGCGAGCGCAGGAGGAGAAAGAGAAATCGCGATCGCGTTTGGATCATGCATTTTTCAGCGGTCATGGCGTTTGCTCGATCGAACGTCGTTCGTACGTCTCTCTGACGTTCATGGCGCGAACCTTTCTCGCCGGCCGGGTTCTGTGAAAAGCAGCACGCGGTAGTAAAACGAGCGAGAGCCCGTATGAGTCGGGTAAGTGTGACGCGGATGGAAAGTAACGTGTGGATACCGGTCGCAAGTTCGCGGGAGATCGAGCGGAAACTGTGCCCTCGCGAAATAGCGACCTATGGGGTATATCTATGTCCCCTTCATGTTCGATCCGATCGCCGCGAATCGTTTCCTCGGCGGCGGCGGCGGCGGCGCGCGGCGCGTGCTGAGCTTGATCGATTTCCCGAGCGAACCGCTATTTCTCTCTTTCCCCGGTTCCCGTTTTTCCATCTCGCATCTCCGCGAGAGCGGTAATGTGCGCCTTAAGGCTCCTCTTTAAAGCCGCAGTAAATTAGTTCGCTACGATCTCCCTTTGATTGAACGGGAGTAGGAGGACGGTGGTCTGCTTTTCACGTAAATGTCATTGCTGCAGCTATTCTATCGCTGTATTATTTATTATAATCAATATGTAATTCTCTGGATGTAATATTTAAACTCCCCGTAGAATTTACTTCACGTAAGAGCTTTGTATTTACCTCTACGAGGTTTAAAATAGACATGTTTACGCATTTAGAAAAATCCTTCGATCGGATGTATCAATTTATATCGGATATTTAATTTAAAAAAGTTTAATAAAATTACGACACTTGAATATATATTTAAGCAATGTCTACAGATAAAACGTCACGATTTAAGAATAAAAATATAAAATACAATCGAAGAAAATCAAATGATTAAAGTAGAATTTACATAAAATTATGGATTTATTTTCTTTCCTAAATTCTTGGATATTTTAAAACTTAATAGCATTATTTAGATATTTATAGAAACATAAAAAATTAATAGTAATAATTAAATTATTATTTATGAAAAATAAAAAAAAATAACTTGCTGTATAATCGATGCCGAATAATCGATAGAAAATATAATTAGCATTACATTTTTTCAAACAGGTACTCACCGATTACGGTCAAATTGTATCGAAAGCTGCGCGTTTGGCCATTTTGGAAATCCACTCTACATCTGTATGTCGCTGCGTCGTGCCGCTTTATATCGTCGATCACCAGAACCGCCGGATTTGGAAAGGACGTTCGGAAAGAAGCGCGTGGTCCAAAAACGCCGGAATCCGATGAATGATGCGCCTTTGCCACCGGCTTCTCTCGCGCGTCGATTCTGCAACAAGAAAGAAATCCAATTTAAGAATGTTTAAATTTAATCTTGGAATGCACATTATATTTCATACTTGGAAATGCAAACGACAGTTCTCTTGTAAAATTACACATTAAAATTATTTTAACGTTTAGATTAATGAACTTACTAGCTCCGCTTTACAAGCGTTATTTTCGCAAGATTGTTCGACAGATGCCGAATTTTCGAATTTTCAAACTTTGCCTAACCTTCGTACAAACTATTACCACTGCCGTCTATCCGCTTTCGTTTTATTCCTTTAGTCCGATATACAACGCCATTGTACATCCACGATTTCTTTTCCTTTCGCCCGATTGTAAAACAATTACCGGGGGGATTTCGAGAATTCACGGCACGATCGGCGGTATTCTGATATGTACATAGAAAACGATCGCGCAATTTCCGGTCAATAAAATTCGAATCTCACGCAAGGAGACTCCGCCGAGCGACGGCGGACAATGGGCGTTGCGCGATGCGGGGTTGGAAGAGCCGGCCGTTGAGGAAAAAAGTCTGCATTGCGATTCATTGACCGCCCCGGTCGAAGCGTGATAGTATATATCCGTAGTATTACCCGTTTACGAGGCCGATATAATTATTTCAAATCGATAGAATAATTATCGTGCGCGCGGGCGGTACAGAGAATGAAACCGCGGCGTGCAGGTAGCCGGCGATAACGCAATTAAATCGTAGCCGTGTTATCCGATATTTTGAACGGATACCGCTCATTTCATCGATATCGCGTAGATACTGGCCTAACCGAAGAAAAAGGGCCGATACGCGCCGATCGAATCGAATCGAATCGAATCGAGCCGCGCGCCGGCTGATTACAATGGATAATTGGAAAATATAATCACCGAGCGCTCCGCTCGATATAATCTACGGTATCTACGATATTTACGTTATATTATAGTTAATTTAACGCTCGTGTGTAAAATATACGTGAGCATTTTGCGAAATTGAGGAAACGCTGATATACGACACGTGATTGAATCACATTCCCATAGACGGTCTCTCTCTCTCTCTCTCTCTCTCTCTCTCTATCGGTGAAAACTTAAAATTTAAAATAAAGACGATAAGGAGATTCGAGAGGAGAGCACAAATGACAGCGAAATAAATTTGCGAAATAATAGAAATCAAAGAAAGCACACTGGACGCGAGATGAAACGGAGGGATGAAATAAAGAGAAATATTTGTAGTTGATTTTTGCCGCTTCCCGTGTTTCGCAATAATTCCGAAATGAGATTTTACGAGTGCACGTTCAGCGATTCCCGTTTGACATTAACTGCAATTATATGCACGCGTAATATAGTAACTATATATTAATGGGAACGTAAAATTTCCCGGTGGCGCAATATCGGATCTCGTTTGACATAAATATAATGTCAAAAGCTTCCTGCCGGCGAAATTACGTATTTTATTAACGAAAGTGGCGATACACGTTACGAAATTCGCGATCGGTGAGGAAGGAAAGTTATTATTGTTATTATTAATTTCAATTCAGCCGAGGGTACCATTATATCCGTATCGCCGTATAAAATTGCCTCGTCACAACGAATAACACGCGCATTATAACTACGTAATTATTTAATAAAAGAATATTTCCCGACAAAGATCAGATTTAACGTGTCGCAATTATGTCTCGCAACATGTTACTCGCGATGTTTAATTACCGCGTCACGTTTCTCCATATTCGCCGTCAGAGAATAATTCGCACGAATCTTAATATAAAAAAATATATCCGAGACGAACGTACGTTTGTATCGCGTAGTAGGAAAAATCGCGTTGCGTCCGAACTTCTTTTCTCGAATGCGTTTGCGAGGCTTACGAGCGCCGCGGTGCAAGAGTTTTCATTTCTCTTGGTTGAAGTTCGTGCGAAGTTCGTGGGAGGACACGGGGGAGTGCGACGGATGCCGGCATCTGAAAGTGGCGGGAATAGAGGGAGCGGGAGCGGGAGCGGGAGGATAAGGGCGGCCGAGAGACGCAATAAGGAAATGCGTATCTTTCGCCTTCCCTTTATGCGCCAGCAGGAGGACCATTCCCTTATCCCTCGACGGGCGCGTTCTCGAGGAGCGAGACTCTCTCGGCGAAGACTCCTCGATTCACGTCGACGTCCCGGGTGCTACGGGTAATACGGAATCAATGTCTGTTTTATGAAACGTTTTATCTTGCCGCGCAGCCAGCTTTCCAATATTTCGCCCGAGACTCTCTCGCCCGCCTCGTTCACGACCTTTCCCTTCTCGAAAACTATACGTTCTCCATCCTCGCCGTTTATTCCCTCTCGCTTCATCCACGTTCGGCCCGCGTTCCTTCCCCGAGCGTTTCGCCACGATTATCTTCCGCGGAACGATACATACCTTTTAAAGCAGTGGTATCGAAGCGAAGCTGCACGCCTTCTCCTCCCCCTCCCCCGGGGTGTGCAAGGCGTTGCGATAGATTTTTAAAAAAATTCAGCATTTCTCTCGGTATCTCGATACGTTTCGATCGATAAGACGAAATGACAAATGTTTTATCCATAATGTGTAGTCGCGATAGCGTTTTGACAAATGTCAGAGGGAAAAGAATCACCTTAAAAATAGATAGTTAAAACAAGCGCGCAGCAAATTTTGAATACAGATTGTCGAGAGCTGGTCAAGTGAACGGTAAGGCCATTCTTTTTTTTTTTTAGATACTACTATATTTTATTTGTAACGTAGTATTGATCGAAAGAAAAAAAAAAGATCAGGAAAATTGTCTGTACTTAAGGAATCTATCTTTTTGCGGCCGCCTATAACTGGAAACGCCAGGTCATTTCATATTTAGATCGGATAATTTTGGAGTATAGTTAAATCCATTTCCAATATTCCGCCCTAATCCACGGTCTCGTGCACGACCTTTCTTCCCTCCTCCGCCCTCGCGCGTCTCCCACGCGCTCCCTCCGCTAACGATACGCCCTAATAAAAATGATAAATGTTCGGCGAGCAAAGGGTAAATAGCGACGGAATGAACGCCGCTTTGCATAGCGTACAAGAAAATTATACGTCTCTAAATATTTATTGGCGCATTAATTTTGCGACGTGTCTTTAACCCGGATTGCCGCCCACAGAAGAGGCAGAAGGGGCGAGAGGGTGAGGGGGGGGGGAGGGGAGGAAGAGGCAGAGTGCGGCACAATAATTCTCGACGCGTCTCGTTGTTTGCCGTGGCGCGCCCACAGGATAAAGTCGCCGGGGCCCTCTTTTACAGTTTTCTAGATTGAATTTCGAAAGCGGCTGGGTGCTTTTTAATATTTCGCTTCATTTTTATCCGCGGGCGTGTATGCATGTGCGTTGTACGTGTGTGCTCATCTCTACCCTTCTTCCCTTTGCACGTGTCCTTCCTTCGTCCTCTTTTGCGCCGCCATCCTTTTCGCCACGGTCGCGGTCTTTTATAGGGAAAATAACACGCACACCTTTGGGGCAAAGGGTAAATGGCAAGAGAATAAATGCACGGCACCCAGTTTACGGGTACGCGCAATAAAATTCTTTTTCTTCCTTAACCCCTCCCTCTCTCCCGGTACGGCTCTATGTTAATTCCCCGCGTTTTCTGCGGAAACCGTGTTCGCGCGATCAACCGGTGAAATTATCTGAAATTCGCGCGGCGCTTTTTATATCCGTGTTTATCAAGTCAATGAGGCCGTTAAGTTGATATAGTAATAAACAGCCGTAATATTTATGAGAGCCTCGTTCGCGTACACGTTCGTACATGGGACATGTGTACGTGCGTGTATGTGTGTTAGACGTTCTTAATAAAATCTCTGAAAATCTCTCAGATCTATATTTAGTCGCAAGTTTATGAGTTCCTTCTCACGTCATTGTAATTTTTCTCAAAACGCCTCGATACGATCAGTTGATAGCAACAATGTTGATACGATCGAGGCTGAGACAATAGTTGATTAATAAATTAGATGACGAGATAAGACGATGGAGGAAAAAAGACCTTTTTATCGGACCTGAGATCCATCATCTCATCTCTGAGAATACTCAGATAATAAATAAGAGATTAAATATAAAAAAGTTACGCGTTAGTGGAGGAACAGGAATAAACATTAAATTTTGAAAATTTTGAAATGAAAATTCAGAATAAAGTTTAAATGTAACACATAATGGACACAAATAAGTATAAGATATAACTACGTTTGTTGTGTACTATGTTATGTTTAATTTTTATTTTGAACTTTTATTTTTAAAATTTAATATTTATTTCCGTTCCAAATATTTTCTCCACTGTGCATGGATCCTTAAGAAAATTATTTTTGATGACTTTCCTTCATTGAAGCACAGAAATTTTTAATTCCTTATTTTTAATTTCTCGTTCCTTTCATTATACGTGGGCCTTTTAATGATAGGGCCAAAAGAGTTGTGTTCGGTGTATCTCTCACGCCATGTAAAATGACGTGCCACGGTCGCGTGCGCGCGCGCGCGTGAGCAAAAGTAAATAACAACCGAATAAATGTGTACACACCGCTGCCCTCCGCCCCCTAGTTCTCCGCAAGCCGCGAACAAACCGCAAAACGAAACCGCGAAAAATATGCCACTCCAGCGATTTCATGTCGACCTCGCGACTGTGCGAAAACACTTAAAACGCGCGTTCGTGCGCTTTCCTTTTTCTCTCTTTCACCGCGTCACCGCAATCGTTAGTCGGCGCGTTAGTCAGCTGACACGTTACAAAAATATTTTTATAGTGATGCATCGCGGATAAGAATTAACTACGCTATCAAATAATTCATAAAGCGACGGACGTTCGTCGTGTAACGTCGTCGCCGTGTTGCTTCGCGGCGATAGACGAAAGTCCGCGAAATCTGAAATCCCATCGCCGACGTAATCGAAATTTTCGTTGTCGAAGAGAGAACTCGAAAGCGAGGAGTACCACGGCCGAGCTGTGACCGATCGAGGGACATCGCATTAAAGTTGGGCGAGAAAAGCTCGGCTGGTATCGCGCACGAAATCGCGGCGGCGCGACGGCCGGCGTCT